GGCTAATAAGCCAGAAATGGCCATTCCAGTCTCCCTTGTCTTTGTCGACAATACTATTTGCCTATCACTATAGCATCGCATTGCCTCATAAATCGGTGGAAAATACATGTGGCGACAACAAATAAAAATAACCATTTCGTTTAGTAGAAACCAGTCGTTAGAACTATAAAAAACAGGCTGGGTGGTACTATCAACAAACTCTATACATAGATGCTTAGACACAACCGAAAAATAGTATTATTATTAAAGTAGCTTTTCATTAGTTGTAATGTCTGGTTTCTGTTTAAGTATGCGGTTCGATGGCTATGCTGCCTCTACATACGAAATAAAATGACAGTCATTTTATCACCCGTCCCTTAAAAAACTGCTGGTTTGGGTTATTTTGGTGAAACTTATAAAACATCCTTGCTACTATCGGATGCTGACTGGACGTTAAAAAATAAGTAACTCGTGAAACTCAATGGCCGAAATATACATCATCAGTCGGCGATAACTCAAACGCGTTGCCTATTTTCGAAAAAAAGCAGCTTATAAGCCGGCGCTCATCTACACTCAGGCAATTTCCTATGGCAAGAACCCCTTAGATCACATCTTCCATTTCATACATCGGCTTCGCGCGACGGAACATGCAATCAGTGGTTTGTAATCCCATTGGGCGATGGTTAAAAATCTACTTTCTTATTTTGGATTGGTGTGATTCAGTAGGGTTTGCCTAACAATAGGTCGCAAAAGGAGTTAGGTAATACGCGGAGTTTGACCTTCATCAGTGCTATCGACGTCAAAGTTTTGTCCGTATCGAGCTTATGGTTAAGGTTAGGATTGGTGCTACGAGTTGGGCCAAGGCCAGGATTGTCAGGTTTCGGTAATAGTTTGAATTTTGAGCTGCGGCTAGGGCTGGAGCTTTTTTCGATGTAGAGTTAGCAGTATGGTCACAGTTCAGTCCTTCTTAACGTCTTACGAGTCAAGGGCGGCTCATTACAGGCATGATCACGGTTGCCGTTAGGGTTATAGGTAACTACAGTTTCCCTAGTGGTATTACATATGTTACTCTTGGCGGTTTTTGAGTTGGAACTAAAAGCTTTTGCAGCCCGGGAATGATGTCCATTTGGGTGACTGACTACGTGGGTTTTATACAGGCTAAAACTTGATACCGAAACAGCTTTATGCATGTTAAATGTAGGGTCTTCAAGGGAGACAAGCTCTACGTAATTGGTCTATGTAACCGTCGAGTACTTTGCGAAGGGCTACAAAACACCCGTCAGCTGGCAACCAACAAGACTCACCTCCGACAGTTTACGCGGAAACTCAGCGCTACGGTTGCATCCTTTTCTTTCAGTTCATCCATCAGTTTGTTGTACATTGGCGGTGTAATGGCCCAGACTCTGTCTGAGGTGCCTTCGAAAGTCATATTGCTGATATCCTCCGTCTTGAAGTTGTCCAAAAACCCTGCTGTATGCTAAGTTAAGGGGGAGGGGGGAAGGAGAAAACAGTTATGCG